CATTTCCATCAGCTGTACACAAGAAGGCAGCCAAGAGATGAAGTTGGGAGAAATCGGCTTGTGTTGATTGTAGATTGACTGGCATAAGGACTGAATTGTGATGCATAGAGAAATCGTAAATAGCAGCTAAGTTTTGATTAGTCATTCAAAAACCACTGTAAAATCTTCAAGGCATGGTTACTAATGTATTTATACAACTTCTAGAATAGTTGAAAAGCTGATCCAAATTAAAGTAGTTTATAAGAATGAACAGGATTAAAATGAGTGGTTGGTGTCAGGAACTTAATTTTATACCATTCTACAAATATATGGGCTTTAGATTTTGTCAGTGTCTCTTTAACAAAAAGATGCTATTATTATAATGGTTTTCTAAGGTCTTCTGCAGAGTCATTTCCTGGAATACTAATTGCAGGAGATTTGCAAAAAGGTCATGGTTTTATAGTTTTGTATTTAAATAAGGTCAGCCTTCCTCTAACAAGTTTTCATTGCTCAGAAGAGGGTTTATGACTGACCAAGACTTAAATGGGCGTTTGTAATCTTCAACATTAAAAAAAAATAAAGAATTCTTTTACCCTCTCTCAGAATGTGTTTGTAGTCAGAATGCAGTCTTTGTGTTTTGCAGCAAGTCCTATGTCTTCTTACCTGAACACTCTTTTAGTCATACACTGTCGCAGATCACTGCTGCGTGAAAAGAAGCTAGCAAGTCTCCGTACTGCCTGCTGTATAAGAGAGGAAGTCAGCTGTACCTGCCTTGTTTGCTGAGCATGAGGAAAGCAAAACTTTTGGGGTGTACTGTGGTGGAGACATATTACTATTGGAGAATACATAGACAATTCTTGGAATAGTATTTTAAAGGTTTTTATTCTCTCCTCTTCTGAGGAGATGTAAGCAACTCCTACCTACAACTAAAGTTCAGTTTCTCTAGCCAAACCACCTGTTCCATATTAGAATAGCTAGATGCCAGGATGTAATAACAGCACTCTATTTTACCAAAGCTTTTGTCTATTTGCAACTTGATGAACCAGTGTCCATACCAACTTCAGGTGGTATTAACCACACTGTATGAGAACTACAAAGACTCTAGAAAGAGAATTCAGCTGTAAGAGAGAACTATTTCTGAATGGCCATCTCCATAAATGAGGTAATGGAACCCACAGGAAAGTCTATAACTTTGACTACACACTGGGTGAAGAAATAACCCCAAGTTATTGCCTTATAAAGCAAATAGGTCTAACTCACAAATAACAGAGCTGCCTCAGTAGGCAGAAAGCTACTCAGTTCATCTTCTTAGAAGCAATTTGTTATCAATCTTAAGAAGTCATTCCACTAACTAATAAAAACATTTCATGTACCACTACTGGCTGCAGAACACTGTCATAAGCATTCTGAATTTTTTTTTAATACAGTGATAGCCCATATTTTTCAGCTTTTCAGAGTTGTCAGACCCAAGGGAACTGTGAATAGTTGCAGCCATCCTTTTTTAGGTAGTCTTATAGGAATACAAGAAAGACAAAGTTGTGTGCATGACCCAGAATATCACTGCTCATTTGCACACTGAGAACATATGTTCAATTATAGTAGGATCCACAGTTATCAGTCTTCTCACAGAACCATGTTTGGTGCGGATTTTGTTACTATTACTGTGGAGAAGAGTCTTCTACTTGTATCACTGGAATTACAACCTTTCCTGCGCAATCGCATGTGTATATATTTTTATCGTAACTTAAGGTGCAGAGTGAGATTCATCTCACCTAAGTGGTTGGGGCTACTTGAAAGTTCTGTGACAGTAAGCAGCATTTTCTAACAAAGTTTACATTAGAGAGTCTTTAAAAACAAACAAAGCCAGTCAAGTTACTCAACTTCCTTTTTTTTCCTGGCTTCCTAATATTTATGCATCATTCTGGCTTTTATGTTTATAGATGCTGCCTGTAGCTGCTACAGACCATAAGAAATCTGAGCTTTTAGATTGTATGATTGTCTAACAACTCATTTAAGTCCTTCCTTTATCAACTATGTTGAGGCTAAAATGGGTGCATTTGAAATGATGAAAAGAGATTAAATCCTTTTTCTAGATGATACAGAATTTAATTATAAATAGCGAGTGCTTTTACACTTTCCCAAAAGGTTAGAAATTTAGCTTGAATATGACAGAATAAGAATCTTTTCAGGGACAGGTGTGCTGTAAAGATTATTTTTATTTTATGTGGTATCTTTTATCTGAATTTAAAACTCTTCTGAAAGGTACTCTTAACCTTTTAACCAGATGTCTAACAGAGAGAGTTTAGGTGTTCACAAAAATGCCTATAGAATTGTTCTATCACTTATTTATGCAATAACATGCTGTCAGTATATTGCTACTTTCTCATGCAGGTGCATGTTATTTGTAAGTACGTGAAAGACATGGCAGTAGATACAGCATAAGACTGCAGATAAAAAAAACTTAAGGTAGAACTGTGATTTTGAGGGATTAGCAAAGTCACCGTCAGAACTTCTCATCAAATTTAAGGTTATTGTTGGAAACTTTCTTTTACAACCATCTATTCAATGTGACCAACAGACAAGAGAGAAAAGACCTAGTGAACAAAGCTTAATGTTTTGGATTTCCCAGATATTCAAAAGGTTGTTGAGATGCAAATATTAAAAAACAGTAACTTTTATTTCTATTTGAAAGATCTAAAAGTATTCTACAAAATAAAATTCCCAAAGTAAACAATGTTGTCAAATAAATAATGTGGTGGTCCAGAGCATTCGGTGTTTCACATAATACAGCACTGCAGGCAACTCTGAACACAGTTCTCATTCGTTCTGGTTTTGGCTCAAGTTTTAGTGGTTATGAGCAACATTGAGCAGCATTAGAAACTCTTAAGATAGCCAGGCCTCTGAAGTGAATCTTCTCTTGAGTTTTCCTTAAAGTAAACACTCCGGATACACAGAAAAGGCTTTGAACGCAGACAGTGAAGTTTTCCTAAAAAAGAAAATAATTAATTCAAACTCTGAGTGTGGCAAGTATAGAAATAAAAGAGAATCCTAGCAAATTTCCTTCTGCCAACTGCATCTTGGAAAGTCAAACACTTTCCTTCAGGCTTGAAGATCTCCATGTTAATCAACCTTTAACTGGCATACTGAAAATGTTAAAAGAAACTGCAGTCCGTTTTGGGTCCCTAGGTAATGTTTTTCTTCCTTGCCTTTGAGGCTTAGCTGTGATCACTCCACACTCTTACCAGCAGATTCCCAGTCCCTGTATTTTTCTCAGGTTTCCTGCTGTGTCTCCCATTGTGGAAACTGTGGTGCAGGCAGAGGAATATGGACACGTCTTTTCAGCTGAGCATGCTTATTCATTGTCAAAGATGGAGCAGTTTTTTCTCTTCTTCTGTGTACCTGACCCGATGCACAGCAGGCAAACCATTAGTCCTATTTGCTGACCAGCCACTGCTTTTTTAAAGGAGCATAACTTTAAAAGTCAGATATGTATAATGGGAGAAGACTAAGAAGTCTTATTGCTCCTGAGCCATGAGTTGTGAGTGAGGGGAATAATGTGGTTCTTAACCTTGGTGTACAGGGAACTGTGAGGAGAATCCTAGGTTGACTAAATGTTATGCAAGAGTTTCTAGACTTACAACTTACTCCTCCTTCTAAGCCATGATGTCACAAGTCTTGTATAGTAGGTTTTGTGTATTTTGTTGTGTTTATTCCAGTTTTTCAGGGTTTTCAGAGAAATAAGTTAATTTAACTCTT